ATATATATATGTATATGTATATATATATCAATAAAAACAAACATTTTGTCGATTAGATTTGTTTCGTGTCAGTCTTTAATTTAGAGTCTGACATGCTGTAAATGTTATGTATAGGCTATAAAATATTTTATAACCCTTGTCGGATTTTTTCTTTGTCTAACTGCGTTTTCGTAGCCCCATTTATGAGCGTTCTTCGTCTGCTTTGCCATTTACCTGCTGCTGTTTGTTAATGTATAAATTTAAATACCTTAATTTAAATAATGACAGAACTAAAAGCAGTTTTTGCTTTTTGCATCTGCCAACGCGATGTTATCGCTACACACACATACACCTATTTACACACACACATTCTCACATAGGTTGACAGCTGTATTCTTTTTTTGTTTTGGGGAAGGGCGTCTTTTGCAGTCGGCTTATTTTGCAAATGTTGTGCCTGTTTATTACCTCATCATCAACATCACGTACCGCAGCAGTCGGCTCTGCCTGGCAGCTCGGGTTACCCTGGTCAGAGCCACGCGCCACGCGCCACTCCGAGCCACGCTCCACAGTTCGCAGTCCACGCGCGGCAGCTGCGTTTGACTGATTGATATTGGGCGAGCTGGCATTCGATCCGATGCGATCCGGTCCGTGAGTCCCACATTGGCCAACGCAACAGCAACAACAGCAGCAGCAGCGTCAGCCACAGCAATAATTTCTATGTCGCTAAACTGCATCAAATGTTCGTTAGTGAAGTTGTCTAAAGCTGTCCAAAGCCAACTGTGGGCTGGCTCCAATATTATGGCGACGTCTGGTCGGCGGCATTCCTTCAAGCGAATTCGAATTCGAATGCGAATGCAACGACAACGGCGACTGCGACTGCGACTGTGAATTCTAGCCAGCGAAACACTGTCCAGTTCGAGATGTAACCATTTATCTACTTTATCTGCTGCTAGCCGCATTCGTATGCACTTGATCTATTGATCTTCGTATATGTTACGCCAAATACGTGCTGCGACAGTGGTTGCAGCTAAGACCTTGCACACTGGTTGACAGCTCAATAAAAAACCTAAACATGTGAATTTTAAATTATTCACAAATGTTTGTAACATTACTCAAATATAATTAATTTAGTGATAATTATCGAAATTGAACATTGCAATTTTAAAATTTAAATTCGACCATCTAAAATAAAAATAATAATAATAAAATTATAATTTTTTTTAAATTCAATATAAAAAAATAAATAAATAAAATAAAAAGGTAAAATAATTTGAAAAGAAAAAAGGAAATCAAATAAAAAATAAAAAATAAATTTAAATTCTTCCAAACCCATAAAAATACTTCATATTAGGTTAAGATATTAAAGACTGAGATTTATAGATGGAACTAATTCAGAGTTAATAAAGACGTTTGTCTCTGATTTTTCAAGTCTTTTAAGTTTAAAGAATTGTCATAAAATAAAGAATGATGCATTCATTCTGTTTATGTTTGATCTAGTTTATCTCTATATCTATATTAACACTTTGAATCACTTATGCCTATGCCACATTGTGATATCTTTGATTAGCCTGGCTAAGCACACACGCCGTTCGCTTATCTTAATTGAACTTCTTGCAGCAGTTGCCTAACGTGGCACTAAAGCCATAATTTCGATACGTTCTTCTATCATGTTTTTTGTTGCCCCCACGTGAGACGCCTACAAGCGGGTCTAGTACACAAATGTCTGTCGATTGTCGACCACTGTGCCTGCGTACAGGTATCTTTACCTGTTTGCCTTGCAGTGCATTGACACCAGAGACCAGTTGGAAGTTATGACAACTGCCAATAGTTGAGGCTGTGACAGGTGGTAGGGGAAGGGGATGGGGAAGGGGAAGGGGAAGGGGAAGGGGTAGAGGCCTGGGCAGAGGGACGGCGTTTTATTGTGGGCCGAATTTAGCTGTTACAATTCCCGCCATTCGCTCGGCTATAAACTTACCAGCAAAACACATATTCGCAACATTTTTATCGTCTCTCTTTCGCGCAGAGACACCTTGTACCGCATGTCTTTGGAGCTGGAGCTGCTGGAGCGGGCCAGCTGGGAGGCAACGCCTGGGAACGTGCTGCTGTGCCAGCAGAAAGGCCAATCGGATCGCTGGTGTCGCAACTATGTGCGCGTGCTCCACAGCTACGGTGAGAACCAACTGTACGCGTGTGGGACGAACGCCTTCCAGCCGAGCTGCTCGAGGCGCCAGGTGAGTGGTCGTCGTCGTCAGCGTCGTCTATGTCTGCTCGTCGAGTTGGCGACGTCTCTGACAGCCCAACAACTGCAGCTGAGCTAAACTCTTGTATCCCCCCTCTCTCTCTCCCTCTCTCTCTCTCTCTCTCGCTATCTCTCTCTGTGTAGATGGAAAATCTGAACGTTACCCAGCTGGACGATGGCGTGGTCAAGTGCCCCTTTCATCCGCAGGCGAACAGCACCAGCCTCCTGTCCAATGGCAACATGTTTGCGGGCACTGCCACAGACTTCTCCAGCAGCGACGTGGCCATCATTCGCACACCCATCCAGTCCAATAAGGTAAGTGGTTAGTCATACACGAGGGTGGCTTAAAAAGTTATATATGACAAAATACATAGTTTCTTTCATATTTCTTATCGTGATTTTTAAATTTCGATCGAAAGATACCAGGGATAGTCTTTAAATATAATATATAATATGTAAATTTTAATCAAGTGAATTTTAAGAAGCTTACATAGAGATTGGAAAATATAAAATATATAATTCTTCTTTTATAACTTCCCCCTCAGATGGATCGCAAACGTTTCCTGCGCACTAAGCAGTACAACACCAATTGGCTAAATGGAGCTCAGTTTGTGGGCAGCTTTGAGGCGGGCAACTTTGTCTACTTTCTGCTCCGCGAGTCCGCGTCAGAGCACATGAGCTGTGGCAAGGTGAGTGAGAAAGAGACAGAGAGAGAGAGGCGATATAGTCCCACTGCAATCGTTATATTCTCTGCTCTCTGCTCAATAGGTCATCTATTCACGCATTGCGCGCGTCTGCAAGAACGACGCTGGCGGGGATCAGGTGCTGCGTGACAATTGGACCTCGTTCCTGAAGGCGCGCCTGAACTGCTCTCTGCCAGGCGACTATCCCTACTACTTTGATGAGATACAGGGCATGACATATGCGGAATCGGAGCAGATGCTCTATGCCACCTTCAGCACACCGGGGTAAGCACTTAGATTGGACTCCCTCAATATCGATTCACTCATTTCTTCTTCTTCTTCTGTTCTCCCTCAGGGCGAGCATCTTTGGCTCTGCCGTCTGCGCCTACAACTTGAGCTCGATCAATGCAGCGTTCGAGGGCGCCTTCAGGCACCAGGAGCACGCGGATGCACCCTGGAAGACGGTAAACACGCCGCAGCGAAGTCAGTTCCAGTGTGCTAGTGGAGCCACTGCCTTTGGCCACCTGCTGGAGAGTTCGCGATACCAACTGATGGATCAGGCCATACAGCCGATAGGGGCTCAGCCGCTGTATCACTCCCGGCTGGAGCACTTCAAGCACATTGCCCTGGACATCGTGCAGACCAGAACGGAGCAGCTGCATGTGCTCTACGTCAGCAGCAGTGGCAATCACATCAAGAAGCTGTCGGTGAAGTATGGAGCGCAGGGCAAGACGCAAACCTGCCTGGTGGAGATGTGGCAGGCGGACGACACGGGCAGCAGCACCCTGTTGCACATGTCCTATCTGAAGGTGACGGAGTCCCTGTACCTGGGCACGGATCTGGCTCTGACGCGCATTCCCGCCCAGCGCTGCAGTCGCCATGTCTCGCAGACCAGTTGCCTCAATGCCATGGATCCGTATTGTGGCTGGAATGAGCTCGTGGAACGCTGCACACCACTCGATCCCACGCTGCAGCAGCCCTGGCTGCAGCCAACCGAAATCACCTGTCCTGTGCTCAATGCGCCCATCGATGGCGGCTGGTCCACCTGGTCGCCGTGGGCGGAGTGCCAGCAGCATGACCAGCCCGATAGCAACTGCATGTGTCGACAGCGCAACTGCAACAATCCGCAGCCCCAGCATGGAGGTGCAGCTTGCGAGGGCATCAGCACCCAGGTGACCAACTGCACCCAGCACGGCGGCTGGACGGATTGGTCGGCCTGGTCGCCCTGCTCGCAGACCTGTGGCGTGGCCGTCAAGGGACGCCGTCGTAGCTGCAGCAATCCAAAGCCCGCGCACGGTGGACGCATGTGCCTGGGACCCGAGCTGGCGGAGATGTACTGCACCCACTTGCCGCCCTGCCCCGTGGCCAAGCCGACGCCCATTGACGGCGGCTGGGGACCCTGGGGCGAGTGGAGCGAGTGCAGTGCGCAGTGTGGAGGCGGCTTCCGAATGCGCCGTCGCGAATGCGATGATCCCAAGCCGTCGAATGGAGGCATGGCCTGCCCCGGCTGCTGGCTGGACTACGAGGACTGCAACATGCAGAGCTGCGCCGAGGTGCGCAAGCTTAGCGCCTGGACGCCCTGGCTGACGGCAGCCGGTGGCAACTCGTCGGAGGCGCATGTGGAGAAGCGCTATCGCTATGCTTGCCGAGCGACCAGTGCGGACTCGAGCTCGGTGCGTATCAGCTTGGCCAAGGAGGAGACACGCAACTGCAACCAGGACGGCAGCTGTCAGCGGCACAGCGAGCACGAGACCGCGGACTCCGAATCCGAGTGGTCTCCGTGCAGCGTTAGCTGCGGCGGCGGCACACAGCAGCGTCGACGTGGACACAACACGCAGAGTCGCGCCTGCAATATGCACGCGTGCCCGACGGACGAGCAGCCGGACAACAGCATTGACACACAGCTGGAGCACGAGTGGAGCTGCTGGTCGGAGTGGTCCAGCTGCTCAGTGACCTGTGGTCTGGGCGTGCGCCGACGCACACGCAAATGCCTGGGCGGCCACGAGCGACTCTGTGCGGGACGCGCGCTCGAGGAGCAGAAGTGCGAGATGGCGCCATGTGAAGGTGAGTTGCTGTGAGTGTTGCATCAGCTCGATTGGAGTCTTACGTTTGATCTACTTGCAGACTTTCTCGGCTGGAGCTCCTGGAACGAGTGGTCAGCCTGCTCCAATGATGGCATACGCCTGCGCCATCGCCGCTGCCTAGTGGAGCAGCCGGGACCGCATGAGTGCCGCGGCGCTGAGTTCGAGAAAACCGCCTGCGTGCCTGGCGACTGTGAAGGTAAGTCCACGCATGCTCCACACCTGAAACACGTTTGCAATATCCACTGCCTTGCAGAGCTCCAAAGTGCTTCCAGCGCCACAGTGCCCATTGTGATCTGCWGCTGCATGCTGCTGACTGTCGCCTGCTGCTTGGTCACATTCCATTTCACGAAACGCCGCTATCTGCAAAACATCGAGGAGACGCTCAACAAGACGACCACGACCACAGCGAGCTTCGACACATATCCCAATCAGTATTCCAGTCTGCCCACCAAGGATGTAAGTGTCGCATTTATCTAGCCAATGGCAGTTGATACTGATTTTGTTTTTGCATTGGCATTTGCAGTACTATGACCAACGACCGAAGCGCCAGTCCAGCTTCCGCATGCCCGTCAAGACGAGTAATCTGCCAACGAGCACCTTGAATCGCAACAACATGCACCACAACAACACGCCCAAGGTGCTGGCCAAGACCTACAACGACTGCGAGACGGGCACGCTGAAGCGGCAGTCGGCGCTCAACAATTGCCGCACCAACATGGATGACGAGAAGTTTTAGCCAGATGACATATCCATATGACAACCGAAACAAGTGCCATCCGAATGGAAATGAAATGTTGAGCCCAACAACGAAAGCATTTTGCACGGCCAGCCTGCAAAAAGTTCCTTTTCTGACTCATATTGAGTCGCTGCATTTAGTTTAGCTATATCTCGAAATTAGTTTAAGTTATTAATATTTATGGTAAATAATTTGACATTTTGAATGCATGTTTTTAAAATTGTACAAATTTATGCTTTGTTTATTTTGTAAAAATTGTTTTTCAAATTATTTACCAGCAATTACAATTACAATTACAATGTAATCTGCTTTTAGAATACGAAAGCGAGACTGAAACTAAAATTTTGTTTTTGGACGTACGCCCAATAAAAAATTAATATATACTTGTGGCCTTGAATACGCGTTATATACGTATTATTTATCATTGTTCAGATGTAAGTGCTAGACTAAGATTTAATTTTAAAAACTGTTAACTGCTAAGAACATTTGTAAAAATAGATTTTGACTTTTACTAACCAAAATTTTATTAAGTTCGTCATTTCGTTTTCAAATCAATTTATTCAAATTCGGAATTTCTTTACGTTTACTCCGAGTTTTCGGTCTGGTTTGTGCATTGCAGTTTGGCGCCGCAATAGCAAAGACATAATGCTCATCTAATTTCAGCACCAAAAATGAAATTAGGAGTTTTTAACATTTACTCCGAGCTTTCGGAATGGTTTGTGCATTTGCTAGCAGTTTGCCGGGGCGATAGCAGAGACATAATCCCACCCAGTTTCAGCACCAAAAATGAAATTCGGAGTTTTTAACATTTACTCCGAATTTTCGGTATGGTTGGTGCATCCGCTAGCAGTTTCACTCCGCAATAGCACAGACTCACACCTCATCTAGTTTCAGCACCAATGCAGCTCATATTCTGCTGGCCCCAAAAGTATGTTATACTTTTATATTGATTAACATAATAGTTTCGCTTTTGATCTTATAAATTCGTATTTATTTGATTAAGCAAATATAAACTTAAATAATATATGTTTATTACAACTAGTTTTTACATGCTTTAAGAGAAAAAGAATGATAAAAAGTACATTTTTGTTTAAATTAATAAAACTTTCAAATAGCAATAAATAGTAAATAGTTAAGAACTATTATTAAGTTACGATTGTGATTCGAATGCGATACAACAACAAAGGACATTTACAAATCGGTCATCTCTTGCTGAGATTCGTAGACGGCACAGGCGCCAGCTGCTCCCGCGCCGGCTCCTGCTGCTGCACCAGTTCCATAGCCGGACAGCTTGTTATCCTCACTGGTGATGCGCGTCAGCAGCTCGGCCTGGATGCGCTTGAGGACTTCTACGACTTCGCAGAGGACGCCGCTTTGAGCCGCCTGCTGCATGGCCTCGTTGGCATCGACCAGCGCCTCATTGAGAGCGCCCAGCTCCATGCGCGCCTTGGCCCGGGCATAGTAGCCCTCGTAGCTATGCGGCTTCTGCAGTATGGCTTGCGTGGCCAAATCTATGGAGGCGTCAAGTTCCTACAAAGGCAATCAGAGTAAACCATGAGTCCAATTATCTCGCTAAAGATCTAATGTATACAACTTACATTCAGTTTTCGCTTGCAACGCGACAGATTCAACAACAGATTGGTCCGCAGCTGGGCGAAGACCGCATTCCGTTCGAGCAGTTGCTCCAGGCCAGAGATCTTGCGCAGCGCATATTGGTAGCGATGCGCGGCGTCCTGGAAGCGATTCTTCCGGTACAGCACATTGCCATCCTCCAGCAACTTGTTGAGCAGCACCACCAGGATCTCCGGCTTGCCCATGGCCATGCTCCAGGTGGTGGGACCCAGCTTAGCGCCCTTGCGCAGAAACACCTGCACCGCCTGTATGTTTCGGCAGGCTATGGACCGGTCCAGAGGACGCATGCCATGCACATCGATGTGCTCCAGATTGGCGCCCTGCTCCAGCAGGTACAGCACCAGGCTGGCAGCGCCTTGATAGGCGGCCAGGTCGAGCGCCGTGCGTCCCTTGTGATCCTCATGCTGCCGATTGCAGCCGTGCTCAATAAGGCACTTGGCCGCCGCCAGATGGCCGCGCAGGCACGCCCAGCTGAATGCCGTGAATCCCTCGTGATCCTCGGCCTCCAGGGCAGCGCCACGTGCCAGCAGCAGCTCCAGCAATTCCAGATGCCCCTCCTCGGCGGCGATCATGAGCGGCGTCTTGCGCGCCTGCCCCAACGGCTCGTCCAGCAGGGCGCCGCGCTGCAGCAGCTGCTCCACCACGCTCCAGTGGCCCTCCTTGACGGCCAACCACAGCGCAGTGTAGCCTTGACGATTCCTGGCATCGATTTGCGCTCCGCGGGACATCAGAATGTTGACTGCGTCCACGCAGCCGTGCCGAGCAGCTGCCGTGAGGGCCAGCTCGCCGCTGCTCGGCTCCAGGCCGTTCACATTGACGCTGAGGTCGTCCAGCTCGTGTTCGTTGAGATCCAACAGATCCTCGAGTATTTTGACATGCGCCTGCGCAGCGGCGCCGATGAGAGCTTGCTGCAGTGCCAAGGAGCGGCCCACGTCCTGGGAGCGGGCTCGCGGCGACCAATCGCAGGCCAACAGATATTGGACCACGCTGAGGTGGCCCATGCGGGCGGCATGCACTAGGGCGCAGCGTTGCGTGGTGTCCAGCTGACCGAGGCTACTGCCGGCGGCCACCAGTCGGCGCACCACATCACAGTGCCCCCGCATGGCGGCCAGGATGAGCGGCGTACAGCCCTGGCTATTGGTCAGACCCACATCCGCGCCAAACTCCAGCAGCAGACTGACCATGGGCAGGATGCCCTCGTGGGCGGCAATGCACAAAATTGGCGCGTCGCCCATGTAGTCGGTGCGATGGTCCGGCGAGGCGCCAGCGAGCAGCACCAGCCGCGATACCTTCACATTGGGACTGTAGACATTGCGCAGGGCACCCAGGGCAGCCGAGATGTTGTCCGCCGCACCGGCCAGCCAATAGGATTGCAAATCCCGAGGCGAGAGCGCCGCTTGGCTGTTACTGTAGAGATGCGCCTTGAGCATGTGATGGCCCAGCTCCAGTGTCAGCTGCGGCTGTAGCGGCGCCTGGAGGCGGGACAGCCGGAAGGCAATGCCGGCATGACCGAGTCGTGCGTCGCAGAGGAATTTGCTGGACTCGCCCTCGTCCCGGCGCATGAGCCACTCCCGCAGCGAGCTGTGGAAGAACATGTAGGTGTTATCCAGGCGCTTAATAAGGAAGCCGTCCAGGAGCTTGAAGCGCTGTATAAACTGCGACCAGCTGAGCGGCTCCTGGCCATGGTGCAGTGCCTCCATGCTGTAGTAGATCTCGTCCAGTGTCAGAGGATAGAGTGCGGCCAGGCAAACGTTGAGTATGGGCGACGTCTGCTCGAAGCTCTGCGCCGTGGGAAAACGCAAGTTGAAGTGGAGTAGGAAGATCTGGGCGAGGGACACGGGCAGCACCTTGTAGCTAGATGACTTGACCACCAGTTGGCCACGCGAGATCAGGTCCAGTATGAGCTTGGCGTACAGCATGGACCCGCGACTCAGCGACTGCAGATGCGAGACGAACTTCGCCTGCGACTGGGCCACCTGTCCGCCGATGTTGTGCTGGATCTCCGGGCAGTGCGCGATGCGCGTATTGATGTAGTCCAGCATGTCCTGCTGCAGGGCCTGGCTGCTGGCCCAGCTGTCCAGCGTGAGTTGGGTGTAGCTGGGCGCCTTGACCAGCTCCAGCATCTGGGTGCGCACCGTGGCGACTAGCTTCAGCCAGGGTGGGAAATGTGGCGACATCTGTGCCAGGAAGCTGGCAATGGTGTGTCCATGATCCGGACGATGGTACTCCGCCTCGCACAGTGCATCCACCAATATGATGGCCACCTTGGCGCGGATCTTGCCGGCACGATGCAGCTGCGCCAGTGGCTCCAGTATGGCCAATCGCATGACTCGCTCCGCATCCGCGATGCACTCTCGCACGCTCAGGATGTCCTGCAGATGCGGCTCCGAAAGCAGGTAGTCACGGTACGCCGTCAGCTGCGGCGCCTGGCAGAGCTGCGCGGCCAGCGAGTGCACAAAGTCCGGCACCTGGCACGTAAGATTGGCGTCCGCCTGGCAGAAGTGGTAGCCCACCATGTGGGAGGCCAGGCCGCGCATGCGCTCATTCTGGGCACCCAGCTGGCTGTAGATGGCGTCCGCGTCCTCCTGCTGCTGCGCCTGCATCTGTCGCCGGCCGAAGCAGGAGTACTCCACCAGCTGCAGGCAGAAGGCCGTCTTTCCCGTGCCCGGCTGGCCATTGATGAGCACCACTCGTGTGTCCGTGCCCAGCAGGATGTTGGACAGCTGCTGCACCAGCCACTGGCGGCCCACATACGGCGGATCGGGCTCCTGCAACGGCACCTCGAAGAACAGCGGCTTCAAGGCCAGCTGCACTGCAGCCAACGCGGCGGCTGCTGCTGCTCGCTTGTTGACAGCGCCCGCTGCAGTCGATGCTCCAGCGCCCAAGCTGGCCGGCAGCTGCTGAGCGCGCGTGGAACGGCGAGTGGCTCCCTTGCGTGACTTGCCGGGCAGCGCCAGCGGCTCGTAGGCATGCTCCTGCATGGTGCAGCCCATCTTGCTGAACTTGCTGCACAGGCTCAGCGTGTCGTCCTTGTGCGACGTGGCCACCGACAGCTGACTGCCGCTGAGGCCGGCGCTGGCCAGCGTCTGCTCCGGGCTGATCAGCTGCGAGGAGCTGCTGCTGATGCCCGTTGTGCAGATGTTGCTGCTGTTGCTGATGCTATTGCTGTTGCTGTTGCTGGTGCTGCTGCCAACTCCTGCGCTGCTCGAGATGCTCGTCGAGTGCAGCGTCGAGTTGCCATTGTGATCGCTGCTGCTGCTGCTGCTGCTGGTGGTTGTATTYGTGTTGCTGTTGTTGTTGACATTGACGTTGACGTTGTTGCCGTTGCTGTTGTCATTGAACAGCAGGCCAAGACGGGCACGCAGCTGATCCTTCTGCTGCTTCAAGTTCAGCAACGACTGCGGATGGTGTTCGATGCCCAAGGTGTCGCTGCCTGTGAAAGCAAAGAAAAAACACAAAATTATTAAAATGGATCAAACTAATGCAAATTTAAAATCATGCCAAAA